CACCTTCTTAGTAATGGCAAAACTAGGATGCTTTATTCTGACTTGGACCTGGTGTTGAAATTTCCAGCAATCCCATGTGGAATACCTTGTGGGATTGTCACTATTATTCCAATCAGTGCTCCAAGTGCTAATGGACCCTTGAGCAGACTGGAATGTGAAAAGAAAAATTTGGAATTTTTACTTTTCATCCAAATTTTGTTCCTATCAACATTTTCCATGCAGCTTTGAGAGACACACCGCTAGCAATTCAACAGCAGAGACATGCAGCCAACCCCAAAACAAAATGCTCTTGCCCTTTCTTCAAGAAACCACTTGTTCACTGTAGAGATACAGTGGCTTTTCAAACTTTAAGTCATAAGCAGACACTTTCATTTAGCTCTTAGAAATATCCAAAGCAAAATGTAACCCACATTAAAATAGAGTGGCTCTGTCGCCCTCTAGTGGCCAGACTACACAGAGGATTCTGAGCAGTGCAAGTTGGGAAATAGTTTTGTTGGGGTGGGGGCACTTGCCCATGTAAAATTTCAATAGAAACCAAAATCCTTCTGCCCAGTTTTTGTCCGAGACATGTTTTGTAGGGGAAAAAAAACAAGATTGTTTCTGGTTTTGGCCTGAAATTCCTTTTGCAGTTGCTGAAAAAAGCCAAAACCACACAAATTGTTTCCCAAGGTTAATAACAATCCCCCCCCCTTTCAATTTTGACAAAAATGGACATTTTCCACAAAAATGTCCATGTAATTGAAAAACCAAATTTGCTATCAAAGTATGTTTTGATGGAAATGTTTCAAAAAACTTTACTTGAAAGTCTTCTACTGGCTCTGTTCTAAAGGACCTGGCATTTTACAGCTTAAACAGAAGAGGCTCATAGATCCAAAGGTTCCAGGTTCAATACCTTGTGGAGGACCTAATCTACAACAGAGGGTCCTGTGGCACCTAGGAGACTAACAGAAGTATTGGGAGCATAAGCTTTCGTGGGTAAGAACCTCACTTCTTCAGATGCAAGTCTTATAGGTGCCACAGGACCCTCTGTTGCTTTTTACAGATTCAGACTAACACGGCTACCCCTCTGATACTAATCTACAATGCCGCTACAAAGGAGCAAAGAATTGAACGCAGAAAGTTGTAACTGCTCAATGATTGTCAACTATTTTAGGTACCTTAGCTGTGAAACTTCAGACTTTCATTATTTTGTTTTTCTTTAAAATTTTATTAGCTCTGAGTTTCCTGTTTTGTTTTGTTTTTAAATCTAGGTTCAATCCATATTTTGCATCTTGAGCCTACCTCCATAGTTGTCTGCTTAGAAATATTTGACCATAAAAACGTTGTCAGAACACCGACTGGTTTATCATGCCAAATCCTCTGGGACTTAATCATGGCCAAGACCTAAAGACATAGTCAAGAAGCATGACAAATTCCCAAGCACAAGAAGTGGAATGAGATGTAAATAGACCATAAATAATAGATCTCAGTAAATCCAAGAAGACAATGACAGCTAAAACAATTTATAAAGAGGATGAAGAATCTGATCCTCAGATCTAACCTCAGTCTAAGTCAAGAAGGATCCAAACTTTAAAATTACAAACATTTCCAAAACAACAGCTCGAAGAGCACTGACTATATGTTTAATGCCAGGCCAGGCTTTCATGTTAGTTTTAGGCACATTAATTAAAACGAAGAAATTCAGGAAATTCCAATTGATGGATATTAAAAGAGACCTTCAGTCACCCTCATGTAGTAAGACTCAAATATTTTCCTATGCGGTTTTCAGCAGCTTGCTACCTGTAGCTGACCTCAGTGATATACCCCTAGGCCCTGTGTAGATGGAAGATTCTGGGGAAGCGGAATACGTATATAGGGCATGTCGACAATAGAAATGTAAGTAGACCTATGTTAGGTTAATTTACAACCACCACAGTAATTGCTGTTGTGGTTCGTGTCCACACTGCCCTCTCTCTGTCGGTGGTGTGCATCCTCACCAGGAACGCTTACTTCAACTTCAGAGGGGCAGTGGGGGGGACTGAGAGCCTGAGCTGCCCCCTGGGATCCCCTGCTCCCAGGAGCCTGGCTGCTCCCCCGGGCTCTTGGCTCCCTGTTGCAGCCGGGCTCCTGTCTGCAAGCTCCACGCCCAGAGTCCGACCTGCTCACAGGGGTCTCAGTCGGCCGCTGGGCTCCCTGTGGGGAGCCGGGAGCCTTCGGGCAGCTGCCAGGCTGTGCCTGTCCAACTCCCCGTTCCCAGCCAGGCTGCGCCTTCAGCTCACTGTGGGGAGCCCAGGGGTTGGTGCGAGGCTCCCGGGAGCTGCCTGGACTCCAGGGGTAGAATTCCCTGCTGGGAACCCAGCTGCGGTGCGGAGCCAGCCCCCAGTGGGGAGCAGTGGGGAGCCAGGAGCCTCCAGGAAGCACCAGGCTCCAAGAAGGGAGTGCGCAGCCTGCTTGGAGCAGGGAGCTGGGTGGGGGGGACTGGACTGGAGCCCCGGCACCCCGGTGACAGCCCAGCTTTCTCGTCAATTGGACTCATGAAATTGACAAGAATGACAGCCAACAGCCAACATAATTAGCAGCGTTGACATGGACGCTGCGTCGCCCTAACCACACCGACATAAAGCCCGGCGCCTTTCGTGGAGGTGGAATTATTACATCCGCGGGAGCAAGGCTGCAGTGTGAACACTAACACCACGTTGACACCTCCACTTACGTCAGCAAAACTTATGTTGCTCAAAGAAAAAAACCAACAGCTCCTCAGCAATGTAAGTTTCGCCAGCATAAGCGCTCATGTGCACTGCTGGTGGGAGAGCGTCTCCTGCCAACGTAGCTACCATCCATCACCGAGGTGGTTTTATTATGTTGACGGAAGAGCTCTCTCCCATCAGCACAGAGCGGCTGCATAGATACAGCTGTGCTCCTGTAAGCTTGCTAGTGTAGACACGGTCTACGTGTGTGCATGTACGGATGGTCCTTAGCACATCAAGTAGAAGGTGTTATATATGGTTATTAAGCAAGGTTACCAACAATCATTTGGCCTACTGGACTCTGTAACAATCTGTAATACATGAACAAACGAGTAAAACGGTGTTTGTTGTAGCCATGTCGGTCTCAGGATATTAGAGTGACAAAGTGGATGAGGTCCAGTAAAATATGACTTCACCCATCCTGTCTCTCTATTTATTAAAACACCTGTTAATCCTTTAGGAACAATTTATAAATTCACCATTGATATAAAGCGTGACTAATCTGGTGAATTAAACAAGGCACATCAGTAAACTGAGTGAATTAAAGAGTGGGCTAGCAGTCTCTTTAGGGCAGGAAAACCTATTGAAAAAGCAGTTTACTCAGATTTTAAAAACTGATAACTAACCTAGCAGCATGTACAACTGGTCTTCTAGAACTGCAAACTCTCCTACCCTATGTCAAAAAGCGATACGGTGCTTTTATTGCTGATGAAATCTGTTCATGAGAGTCACACATCTTGAAATCTTATAGAGGCTGATCGGCTTATGTTTTAAAGGGTTCAGTAAAAGAAAAAAAATGTCACTAATTTGGAACCCTGCTGTCCTTTTAAAAACCATCTTTGAGACAATGCCTCTTACGTTATAGGATCCTCCAAATGTTCACTGCAAGGACCTTCTCCTTTGAAGTAGTAAAAAGAAAAGACTTTGATCCTGCTTTCCTTATCCTGCGGTCTGTGTAAATGTATGTGCATTAGGCACTCAAAACTTTCCATTGTGCTATGGGCAGGTACAGCCATACTGCGTATATACACAAATGCAGGGGGAAAGCTCTCTAGACATCTAGTGGGAAATGCTCTATCCAGGAATGAGAAGGGACTATATTTCACTTCTGTGACTAGTTATGTCTTTGTAGCTGGGACATGGGCAGGTCAGATCCGGATTTGCTTTTCTGTTAGCCCAATGAACTGCTTTTACTGCAAGCTCCCAGTGTGAGGAAATGGTCAATTCCATTCCCTATCCGTTGCCTTTGCTCCATGGTTCTGGCGAAGGGGTTCGGAGACCCGACCCCTGGCTGCTGTGTCAAGCAATGTAACATATCCCAAGTTCTACTGGGCACTCACTTTCCATGAGCGTGTGTGGTGTGTAGGACATACAGTACTACTGCTCACCTGTAAAACTTACATAGACCATTTGGGGGAGAGTTTCAAAGGTACAAATTGGCCCCTGACTCCCTTTTATAGCATTGCAAGTTTTCCCCTAAAATCTCAAAGACCACTTCCTTCGCCTCTGGGCTCATTTTGTGCGGATAGTAAGAGGTTTGGGCCTTTATTGGGTTTTGAGGTTTATTCATTTTTGCTCACTTCACTTGATTCAGCACAATAACTATTCTGGATACAGTTTGTATAAACAATTGTATTATCCACAACACCTCATGGGGCTGTATTGTGCAGCAGAATTCATAGAAAGACGACTCATTAAGGTCTCAACATGTTTTTTTTTAAATTATGCATTCAACCTGGAATACGCAGATGTGCCCCGAGAAGGGCACCATTAACTAACAACAGTGGAATCCGGAATACTGCACTTGCTGCAGGCAACTGTTGATGTGTCAGGGGCAATCCCTGTACGTGTGGAGAACACAGAAGCATTGGTAACTGGGGAGTGGTGAGTGACTGCATGCACTCAGAGCATATCCTGATCGCAACACTTCCCTTCCCAAGAAGCTCCATCAGGTCCTAACTAATAAATGTGTCTCGTCATAATACTGTTAACTTTTTTCAACACAAGAGTCTGAACTTGCAACCCCTACTCATGTGAACAGCCCCTTGAACATCAATGGGGATATTCACAGGAGTTAAGATTACTCGCAGGAGTAAAGGCTGCAGAACTGGACTCAGAGTGTTCTCTCTAAGCTACATTGCAAAGGTTTGCATGTTTGTAATTTGTCTGGGGCTCCCCACTTCCTTAGTATTCCATGGTCCCCTTCACACAGTGCCAGACAGTAGAGGAGGTAAACGGAAACTCTGATAAGAGCTCTGGGAGCTGTTTACTTACAGTACACATCCACTCGGATTGATTTTATAGCTGGGGAACCCAAACCATTCTCCGCCTTGCAGTAGTAGCGGCCTCCTTGGTGTCGCTGGATATTTGTAATCCTCAGAGTTTCATTGAAGACACTCGAGTCTTGGAATCTGTCAGAGGCACTTCCCGCTGTTTTGGTCCACCTGATCTGAGCAAGCATCGAAAAAGATTGTTACTTTAGGTTGGCTGTTTGTAAAAATGAATGCAGTTCAGCTGGAGAGATACCTCTACAAACCTGAGAGCAGCATGGGCCCTGTGGCTCTGAGAAATCAAAGTGAGGCCCGTTTATTGCAATACATACCAACGCGCTGGGGTAGCAGTCTGAGAACTACTACCTCGATCCAAAGTACAATTTGCCTTTTTAAAACCCAAAACCGCAATCATATTACACATTACATGTCATTGACAGGAATAGGAGAGTCTTTTTGGTGGTTTCCGATACTGTCATTTCTTTGCATCATTTGGGGTGCCTGTTACTTAAATGTTCCAGGCAGGGTACAATTACCTAATGGGGTAGTTATGCAATTGGATTGGGGAGGGGGGGGCCTGATTAGTCAGTTTAGCCAATCACTGCATTGCTTATTGCTTCACACAAGCGGTTATTATATTTCGCCAGCCATAAACACCCACTTTATTATTGCTGCAGCTGGGGCTTTTCATTATTTTCCTCTCCAGCCCCCCCTCCTCTGGTCATAACCTTTGACAGTTACTGGCAGAGAACATGACACTTAGTTTGGTTCAGGCCTGTGGCCTGCAGGGCGGGCCTATGTTGATTTAAAGCTAATAGGCCTGGCTAGATTTTTTCCCCACAAAAGAATACCAGGAGTGGGGTCCTGGAACTAGTCTGTGTTAGCAATCACTGATTACTCTAGTTAGAAATACCTTGTAAAGAAATCTATCCCGCTGGTGAGGGATATATGTGGTGACTCAACCACCAGCCGTAACACATCTGCTTAAATAGCTGCAGAAAAACCCTCTAGGAGCAGAATTAAGCAGAGCACCTCAGGTCTAGTTCTGTGCTGTTCTTTTCAATACCTGAGGCAATTTGATATTGAATTTA